GATTTATCATAGGGGTCTTTAGAAAACTGCACTAGCATTTTTGGAAAGCTGCTTTGGGACAATGCCTGTTGTAAAAAGTGCTAATAAAATAGCTGAAAGTCAAAACTGAGTAAGAAGGAGTTGAATAGAAAGAAGAAAAACAGAGCAGCACAAGCAGCACTGGAGCAGAATGTTCCCACTGAGTGATGCATGACCTGGATTTTGAACTTTACGCTGGTAATAATCTGGATGTGCTTTTCTTCTTTGGCTCTGAGAATGCATCATTTCTTTTTTCCATAAACAATCTTAAAGGATGTACTGTGCATCAGTCCATTTCAGATGAGCTCGATCCCAAAGAAGTTGATGATTATGGTTGGCTCCAGCTGTGCATTGTGCAGGCTTAACTTGTATTTGTGGATACAGCAACAAACACTATATATGGCCAATGGTTTGTCAACGTATCCTGGAGCCCATGCGATGATATCCATCACAGAAGCACACTGGTTTTTAATGCAGACCTGTCTGAGGGCTAAAATGCCCCTCGGGTTTTTGGCTTTTCTTTTACACCAAGAGATTTCGTTGATTTCATGAAGCTGTTTACTCACTGATGCCTTTTTGGGTCGCAAACCTCAATCATCCTTCTTTATAATGGACTGGGTCTTTCCTGGATGCTCTTTTTATACCTAAGCATGATGGCATCACCTGTTTAAGACGTTTTTTGAACATTTCATGAAGTTCCTAGACTTTTCCCGTCCAAACTTTTTCAGAATGTGTTACAGGCTGAAATTTTAGGCTGAGAACATGTTTACAAAAATGAAGTTGAAGAGATAAAACAAGGTAAAAAAGGACATTTATCTATAAGCTATCAGAGGGAGTAACATAGTGGAAAAATAAATATGCTTTCCGTTTTCATTTGCGTTTCACTAATGAGCTTGCACAGTCGCTGGGAAAAATATCAGTGCATCTAACAATAAAGGAAGCCTTATGCATCTTTAATACAGTGATAGTAAACAGGGTAGCACATGGAAAGTGCTGATACTACACACTGATACGTTTTAGCCTGGCCAACATGAACATGCATGCCTAGTATCTTCTTCGGCAGCATATTTAAACATTTAACAGGCCATTGCCTAATTCCATCATGGATCTCTGGTGAGACGCTCGGTTCTATAGGGTTAAAAAGACAAGATCAAACTCCAAGACTTTGAGACTCTAGTGACTGGTTTTAATCCTCTTACTTCTTGTGTGTTTTTGCAAAAGTGAGTGAATTTGTGACTTCAAAACTGCAGTAATATACAGAACAGAAGGGAGACTTTTTGTTTGAGTTGATCAAAGAGTACACACATGCACAACTGCTTTCCAGCCGAAAGGTCTGGACAACAACTTCCCGGGCACTTGAGAGAACAGAGCCAAGCCCAGCGCTGAGCATTATAGTAATACTCCATTTTTCATCAAGCCCCAGCATGCATGCAATGGCGGCCATGCAAAGCGCATTGATCTTTAAGCTATCAGAGGGAGTAACGTAGTGGAAAAATAATTGCTTCCACCTCTACACCGCTTCCTCAGAGTCCCATCAGAAAAGTGCTGACTTTGAACACTGTCAAGCTTATGATTGGGGGGTTCTTATATGAGTTCCCCTATCGTGGGTTACAGGTTAATGACAAAACTGTAATCGTGAAAAAAACTCTCTGTCTAGCACATTTGCTGGTTTCGGAGGTCTGGGTAAACAGATAGCCGATACAGTGGAGCATTATGTAGGGAAAATGCAAAAAGCTTTAAGCTGATGTATTAGGGTACTGATAAGCACTTATCTCTTAAAAGGAATAGCCAAAAGAAGGCATCCGAGAGCTAGCTCTGGGTTTGCTAGCGCATTGTGAATGTTCAGTTTGAGTAGATGTTGAGGATGTTGAGAATGTCTCTGGGCAGCCTTCCAGCTTTATGAACTTCTGACTGACGGCTTTAATCATGAGATAATAATAGAAGAGGCAGTAAGGGTGCTATAAAGCTAAGTGACAATAACTGACCAGCAGCTGAACAACTAGAACACCTGCATGGATCAATAAATAAATAAAAAAGACCAGACCAACTGCAGTGACAAGGAACTGACTGGATGGAAGCCAATTATGATCTTATTTCATAGCAATACGTAGTGAGTGGCTGCATGTTACTATTAATGCTGCCTACCAGAATACATAGTGCCAATGGTAAAGTTTGGCTGAGGAGGGATAATGGTCCGGGCTGTTTTTCAGGGCACAAAGCGAGCTCCATAAAGACAAGGTTTGATGAGTTTGGTGTGGAGGAACTCCAGTGACCTGCACGGAGCTCTGACCTTAGCCTTACTGAACACATTCGGGATGAATTGGAACATTGGTTGCGAGCCAGGCGTTATCCAACGTCAGTGCCTGCCCTCACAAACGCTTTTTTGACTGAATGGGCACAAACTCCCACAGACACTCCAAAATCTTGTGGAAAGCTTCCCAGAAGAGTGGAGGCTGTTATAGCCACAAAGGGCGGGGCAACTCCGTATTAATGACCATGGATTTGGAATGGGATGTCCAATAAGCTTGTACAGGTGTGATGGTCAGGTGTCCATCATACTCATCAGCACATGTGTTCCCAATAGAGTGAAAAGATAAATCAAAACAGAAAAAAAGTCTCTTCCAATCACAGTGTGACGTCTTGTCCAGTTTTACTGCAAGGAGGACAATGCTGTACTGATTGATAGACATCTGGCGGGAGGGGTTTTAAGTGCTGCAGAGATATCACTCTCTTCCTCAAAGCTCTACTTAGCCTGACACAAGCACTCTGTCCAAGGAGTCTGACGACTTCATTGTAAGAGCACATCCAGCTGGTGTGGAAATTACTTTTCTCATCTATACACGACTGCAATCTTTTTTTTTGGAAAAAGTGAAATTCACAGCAGCCTAATACGCATACAAGTGCGCTGCAATACAACAATCAAGTGTGGTCTCAAAAAACTATCTACAAATCTGATCAAATTCTCATCATATTAGTACCCAAACATGACCAGATATCTTCTCATCAACAGATTGTAATACACAGTCAGGCAAATTCATAAATTAAGGACGCTTTGCTTTTAATTGCTTTTGAGTTTTCTCTATTTCTGGTTTCAAATAAGCAGCGTGCCACCTACAGACAGCTCTTTTGTGGCTCTATTTAGAGGCAGTGGGACGTAAATGCAGCATCTGCTAACTCCACAGGCAGCACAGACTGCAGGGGCACCGGGGAGTGAGCAGGAGGCTGAGACCAGCAAAACTAAGAGGAACTTGCACATGTGAACTTATCCTGCACTGTTTTTTAAACGCCTCATCAGAAGCTTATGGTGAGGAAGCACAAGAAGTCATCCTAGGGGAAGGCACTGCGTGGATACACTAATATGGGGTGTGCCAGTGGGAGTTTTTGGTTGATGATGCTTTTCAGGTTGAAGACTACGCTCACACTAGAATTGTGCAAATGTGCATAAAAGAACCTGGATGGAAAAGCCAGAAATTTGAGAAAATTTGATATTTGGAAAGATATTTCTTAGAAGATAAGACATCAGAGAATTGATTGGCATAAGGAAGCAATCAGCAAGTCAAAGAGTTTAGTTGAAAAAGCACAAGTTTCTAAAACTGGAGATCAAAAAATTATTAAAAGATACAGATAAAATCGGTATCTATCACCAGGAGATCACAAGTTCGATCCCTGGTGATGCTACAGCCATCCGTGGCCAGGAGTCCAAGAGAACACAATTGGCCTCGCTCTCTGGGTGGGTAGGATGGTGCCTCCCATTTCTCCCATCAATCAGCGTGATGCTAGCACAGGTGTCTGTTAGCTGACATAACAGAACTGGCAGTTGGTGCTTTCCTCCGAGCGTGTTTGGCTGTCCAATGACACTGCAGTTTGCAGTTTGCAAAGATGCGGTGGTGCTTCACAGGTCTTGAAGGAAGCCTGTGATAGCCTTCACCCTCCTAGCGCTGGTAGTATGGTGTGATAGGAAGAGTCCTAAGTAGTGGGTGGAATTGGATACGACTAAACTGGGGAGAAAATTGGAGAAAATGGGACTCCTAACAACCACCTGCAATACTTGGTAGGCCACCAATAGTGTCCCTTCAGATGTTTCAGATCTGAAAGAAATGCACTAGAACACCAAAACTAGAAATCTGAGATGTGGAGCATTATGGACTGGTAATTCAAGGTTTGTAATTGGGATTTCTGGGATTGTGAGAAGCAAAAAAGTAACTTCCTTCTAAGACTATACTTTTAGATTTTTCAAAAAACTGAAAGCAAGTCACCTGAAAACAATAAAAAACTGTAATAAAGGCAAAGATTAGACACACTAAATACTAAAATAATATTTTAACAATTATTACTGCCTGTTTTCAAAAGGAAATAAAAGAAGGTTGGTCACTGACTTTTACACAGTACTGCACTGCACTGAAAAAATTCCAGATCGAATGTAACACAGTCCCAACCAAGAATCACTGCATCAGGCATTTTGACTGGCAGAGCCATAACAGTGCACCCACTGAATATGCTGCTTGCAAAAGCACTGATTCTAAAATTGCTGACCCCTTGAACTGGCATGAGCTTCAGCACGGACCACACATTTTTTCACCTTTATTGACCATGAGCTGACTTCACAACACAGTTAACACTGTCAAAAAAAGTGGATTGTACCACAGTTTACACAAGCTTGAAGCGCTCTATCCTCTCATGAAAGATGACTTGATGGAAGGTGGACTGACACTACCATTGGTCCGAGTCCTCGTCAGTCCCAGGCTCATTCAGCCATAAATGGAACAGCGTTTATCCATTCGCAACACACAGGCAGATGCAGAGAGGGTCAGGCACAAATCAATGGCAGAGGGAAGTCCATTAGCAGATGCTCACTACTCCTGGATAAACAGTGTTCATTGTGTGCAGCCAGTTTTTTTAGCAGTGCATGGAGGCTGTACAGAACAAAAGTGTGAAGACATACTGATGGACTAAGTTGCACCGATGGAAAATGTGCTACTCACATTGTCTGTTCGTAGCTTCTTAGCCGGGCAACCTCCGTCCACCGGGTGCAGCATGTAGTAGAGACGCACTTTGTTTGCATGTTTTCGACTCTGGAGAGAATGACAAGAAAGAGGAAGTTAGGAATTTATATGGAAGACTCGATGGCATTACATAGTTACAGATTGTAGCCCATCTGTTGTCATGCACAATTTGTCAGCCACACTCTACTATTCACCGGAGGTCAGTTTCTGTCAAAAAAGGGGGTTGGAGTGGACCAGATGATATTTGGGTGGTGGACCATTCTCAGCAGTAGCGTGTCAATGATTGGTTGGTCCAAAATCAAAAATGTCCAACCAAGAGTGACTCTATGATCAGAAACTGACCATAGTTGAATGGCTAGAGGATGGGCTACAGCTCTCTAACTGTATACCAGGTAATTTGATGGGCAACTCTATTTCAATAACTTATAGGGCAGACTATAACAAAGTTATCGAGACCAAAAGGCAATGCTTAATTAAGACAACAACAATAAGGATGAGGGTGACACACTGAGACTTACAAATGCAAAGGCCTAAAGATGTACACCAAATATGTAATGGCTAATGTACACCAAATATGTAGACAATGAAGGCCTGTGGATGAAAAAGTCTTTCTCAAAAGATTATTTACTGTAGTATTTTTCCTGGGCATTTTACTTTTAGTATCTTTTTGTGGGTCCCCTTGTGGATTGGAATCAATGTAAAACGTAATCGAATGGACTAATTTTCCATAACTCTGTCATCAGATTACCTACGACACTGTTGGCTCTCTATACATGAAAGGGTCTCTATGTTGAGCTGCTAGTGAGCAATGGAAGGTGAGAAACCCCCTGCTGTGAAAACAATTCACACCTCTTCATGAAGATGGCCATGCTGAGATAAAAAAGGCAGCACAACTGCAGCTTTCATGAACGACTGTCACAACAAAAAGCACCTGAACACTATAAAAACACTTTTTCAAATATTGACTAGGTTTTGTAAATCATACACAACTCAATGATAGAAACATATTCCATCAATAGGCCTCATTCACCGATATCTTCCTACGTTTTTTCTTGACTTTGTTCTTGATAAAAGTCCTAAAAAAAAGTCAACGTCAGATTCATGCTGTGTTCTTAAACTGCAGAATTGTTCGCACTTTTGTGCTCTTGAGTGTGTGTAGATTCTGTTCTTGCCTAAGAACAAATCCCAAATAAGAAAACATTGGCCAATGTCGGAATCTTTGTGAAAACTGCATAAGTAGGTTTTGAGGAGAAATTTCTTCTTAAGAATAATTGGGGAATGAGTCCCTTTGTTCTTGAAGAAAAACAATGCATAGTTCAGAGACCACCAAAACAGGTGGAAATTGCCTTTAATGTTCACGGTGGAAAGGGGTTAATCTGTAAACGGTTGATCATGACAGTGTGGTATCTATGAACATCTATGAACATTGAAAACAATGTTAAAATCATGAAATTAGTCATTGTGTACCACACATCATTATTTCTTTCAGCTGGCAAAAGGGACCAAAGCAGCAAGGTTCAAAGTAAGCACGGATGGGAGCATTGAGGGAATGAGTTTGAAAAGAAAAGGGCAATCGGTCACAGTCCACTGCTGGGACACCGTCCACCCGGCCAGTCATGCCGATAAATAATTACTGCAGGCGCCATTAAAACACAGGCAAGCTGCACATCACAAATCTGTCGATGCCTTCGTTTGACAGCGCAACTGCTTTCGCCAAGCAAATCAATCTCCTCCCTCAGTTTATCTGAAACACTGTTTGACGAGACGGCTGCGAGAGCTCCTCTATAAGGCAAAGGAAAAAGCAAGAGGTGGAAGGGGGAGAAAGGGAGAGAGGGAGCATGGGAAGGAAAGAAAAAATGATGGCAACAAAAAGAGTGACACTTTGGGTAATTTGTATGGAAAGCTTTTTCGTTCTCCCTATAACGGGGGATGGGATAACCGGAACGTTCTCGGAATGCAGTCATAAAGTAAGAGACGCTGAGTCAGGCATCTGTGGGTAAATATGAAATATGAAATACCTAAAATGTGAAAATGACAGATTGAGCGTGTCGAGTCTGAGAGAGAGAAGCGAAGAGAGAACTGTTCGTTCAGACCTTGGAAGGCTGAAGGACTGATCTCTATCCGAGACTCAGATAGAGAAAGAATGGGAAAGAAAGAGCTGAAGGTTATTGTGGCTGATAGACAATAGGCCAGATTCATAAAACGCACCGGCAGATTTGCCGAGACGTCAGAAACAAACATTGTCTAGGTAACACATTTGCTCATTCATGGGCGTAGGTTAGAGGCTTTGCTGTTTGTGTGATATGTGACACTAATGCCCTTCTCTCTCATTTGCCTGTGCCATTAGTGATTCAGGAAAGAACAGCGTCTAACAAAAAATACCACCTGAGCCAGTCACATGGTCAATTTCCCTGGTAAGAAGCTGATGTGGAATTAATTCTGTTTACTGTAATGTTGTCAAGAACGTTTAGTATTTGTACTCGGACACGTCTTGGTTTTCATATTATTTGTACTCAGATTTGTCCTGCTCTTCATAGTATTTGTACTCAGACTTGTCTTGGGTTCGATAGCACTTGTACCAGAATTGTCTTGGTCTTAATAGTATTTGTACTCGGCCTTGTGTTGGGCTTGATAGCATTTGTAATTGGGCTTGTCTTGGGCTTAATAGTATTTGTACTTAGACTTGTCTTAGTCTTCATAGTATTTGTACTCACATATATATTTTGGTCTCCATAGTGTTTGTACTTGAACTTGTCTTGGTCTTGATAGTATTTGTACTCTGACTTGTTTTGGTCTTGATAGTATTTGTACTCTGACTTGTTTTGGTCTTGATAGTATTTGTGCTCAAACTTGTCTTGGACTCAATAGTATTTTGTACTCTGCCTTGTCTGGGTGTCGATAGTCTTATGACTTGTCTTGGCCTTCATAGTATTTGTACTCAGATTTATCTTAGTCTTTATAGTCTTTGTACTCTGCCTTGTCTTGGGCTTGATAGTATTTGTCCTCAAACTTGTCTTGATCCTCATAGTACTTGTACTTAGATTTATCTTGGTCTTGATACTATTTGTAATAGGAATTTTTTTAGTCTCGATAGTATTTGTCCTCAAACTTGTCTTAATCTTCATAGCATTTGTACTCAGATCTATTTAATAATATTTGTGATCAGAATTGTCTTAATCTCTATAGTATTTGTACTCTGACTTGTCTTGGACTCAACAGCATTTGTAGTTACACTTGTCTCCACAGTATTTGTACTTTAACATGTCTTGGTCTCAATAGTATTTGTACCCTGACTTGTCTTGGTCCCAACAGTATTTCTACATGGACTTGTTTTGGACTCTACAGTATTTGTACTCAGACTTGTCTTGGTCTTGATAGTATTTGTCCTCTGACTTGTTTTGGATGCAGTAGTATTTGTACGCTGACTTGGTATTTGGTATTTGTTCTCAGACATGTAAGTTAACACATCCTCTACAGGAAGCAAAGTCAAATATTGCATTTTTCTGCAAATTTTAGTTTTTTTGAAAAGTTTTAGAAAAAATAAAACATAACATATTATATGTGCCAGAGCTTCTGCACAAGCCTCATTTTATAAGTTACCTTGTTACATTTATTATATTAACAGTATTTAACTATTAGCAAATCGGACTAAAGAACAGATCATGATAGAGTTTCTTATTACATTCATACATCTCCTTTGCAGGAGCTAATGTCTGTTTTTACTGTATGTAATGTGTTCCATTGTTTTCTATCACTGTAAAAAAGATGCATAAGGCTTCAATTATTGTTGGATGCACTGTGACAAAGTATGCAAACTTGATTCAAATCAGCAAGCACTCATTGTTTTGTTTAATCAGAGTAACAATAAACCACACCTAATGTATGATTTATGTATCTATTTATTTGCGTTTTTTCATTAAAAGAGGTAGTTTGTGACACAAACTATATTTTTTTTGTTACTAACAGGGAAGACAAAATTAAATGGCAACATCTTTTACATGGAACTTAAAGGTAAACATGTTGCTTTTGATTATCTTTGACTTAAGACAACTGAAAAAATATAATACTGTGGTAATACACACTGATCTGTGCCCCATATAGTTCAGGAATAGGACTTTGCACATTATGAATCTGGCCTAGTGAGTTTCCAGGCTCAGCCCAAAAATACGCAGTAGATGCACAGAACACAATAGAAAACATTCAGAATCTGTTCTTATGCACAATGACTGCATGCATATGCATGAAACTCGGTTCCCCATTGTCTTACAAGCCAAAGTAGAGCAACTATATGCACTAGCATTGCTGATTACAGTTGGCATGAGTGTAATTGGGTCCTCTGAGGTTAAATCCCATGCCTGCGGCAATGTGAATAAGATAATATGCAACCGCTAATAGTGCATTCAACTGTGCAGTGTCAGAAGGAGCGATCCATTATGTGGAGACTATTGGAACTCCGATATGAACCTCACAGTCATGAAGAGACAAAATCATTCTCTCCCCACCCCTCCACTGTGAATTCGCTCCCGTCAGTCACTCTGTGGCGAGCTTGTGTGAAAGTCAGCAGGGTTATAATGTGGCATCGGCGGAGCAAGAGCCTGAGGGAAATCAGACGGAGAGTTTCGAACTGAAACATAGAACATGACTGACGTGGATTCCAGCAGTAATGAACTCTCCCTGGAGGAGAAACCAGAGGCTCTGAAAAACGACCCTGACATCAGCCTGAGGTAGAGAGACAGGGAGAAATAAAGTTTGGAAAAGGTGATACCTGAGGTAGAGTCGTACCTTCCACAAATGGAATCACAGTTGCCAGACAAGAAAGACTCTAAAGCCTTTTCCGACATAATCAGGAAAGAAGAGAAAAATCCATACTGCATTAGAAGCAACATCCAGGTCGCTGGACCAGGCGCTTGTCCCTGGACCAGGTTAACCACCAGGCAAGACCTGGTAGACCACCAAAACTCTCCCCATCAGGTAAAGGATAAACAAAGCTTTCACCTTTGAGAGAGAGGAGAAAATCAACATCCACTTTTGCTTCTGATCTGAAAAACTCAGTGTTTCTGTCCAGCCTT